ACAAAGTTCCCAAGGGCCAGAACTACTCAGGTTTCCTGTTCTAATAGTCTAATTCTCATATTTTTAATTCTTCCTCTGAGGGACTTGCTCATTTCACATACTGATTAGTTTATAGCAACAATGCTAATTTGCACTGACATTGGGGATTACACATTGAGAATTATTAACTATAAAGGGAACAGCATTATGAGAAGAAAAGAGGGAGTTTGACCCAGAGGAATAAGAATTGGATGGGGCAAAATGGTTCCTTGCTTCATTACTGAGCTCCAGTGTGTCCTGGGGCAACTCCCGCAGTGGGCTGTGGCCCCCTTTCTATACCTGGAGTGAGCACTTGGGAGGCAGAGCAAGGAGTTTGGTGAAACACAGGGGCTTTTCTTATGGATTAAGTAATGAATGTGATTAACAATAATATAGAGAATTCCCAGTTACCAACCTGTAGCTTCTCTGCAGCTACTTTTCAATTTTGTGTTGATGTCCTTCAATAATTCTCATTCTGACCCAGATGGTATTTATTTAGGAAATTCAGGAAACTCTCAATATTAGCATAAGCAGAACAAATTGGGAAATAAATTAGTACAAAGAAATAATATAATGCAATAGGAAGGTGAACATAAATGACTTCTGGATATTCAGAGCCATGAACTCATCACGTCATTTAGCAACTGTTCAATGAACCCTTTCTCTGTGTTGGGCACTGGAGATGCCCACACAAGGTGGATTCAGCCTCTATCCTTTAGAGGCTCACAGTCCCTTGGGAAAGACAGCACTGGGGGAGTGTGCTTGAGATGGTTTAGTTCCAGAGACTACTGATGCATTTAAAGATCCTCAGATGGATTTCACGTTTAATCTCCTTCCTCTGTATAGGACAGCATGCACATGAGGTATGAGTGCAATGACCACTTTGTGATGCAAATGTGGAGACATGATGGAAGTAAAACTGCCAGCTTCCTGAGGCAGGCAGGATGACCTGTCTCCTTGCTGTACCCCAGTGCCATGGGTGGATCACATGCAATAGCTCTGTGATCATTTGTTGAGTAAATTTGATCCTGATAATCAACCCTATTTATTGTTATTAGACAACAAATAGTTAGTTCTGACTCATGGACACCTTATGAATGAAACGTTACCCAGTCTGCACTACTTTCATGATCTTTGGCATGTTTGAGCCCACTGTTGCAGCTATTGTGTCAGTCCATCTCCCTGAGGATTTCCCTTGTTTTCACTGACTCTTCCAAACATGATGTCCTTTTGTAGCAATTGGTCTTTCCTGACAATGTGTCCAAAGTAAGGGAGCTGAAGTCTTACCATCCTTACTCCTAAAGAGCATTCTGGTTGTATTTCTTCAAAGACTGATTTGTTTGAGTGTGTGACCAGTACAATATAATTAAGGAAAAGAAGAACACAGAAAGGTGCACAAGAGATACTGATAACAAAAGTAAATACTAATTACACAATACTGCAGTATCAATAATATCAATGATTCATCTACGGGTGAATGCATAAGCAGGCAGAAGAAATTCTGGTATGGATAGGCAAACAGAAATATACACATGACCATACATAGATATGGCAGATGGTGTTACTTCATACATAAATGTATGTGCTATAAAACTGTCCGTACACATTTTAGAGCTAATGGGACAAATTTAAGATTACTTCTTAGCCACAACTAAGCACTTTGAGGGAGTGAGTTACTGGGTCTGTGGGCTTGTGACTGTGGTCTTGGGTGATATCTAGCTCAATTGGCAGAACACCATACACAAAAACATTGTTCTGCATCCTACTTTGGTGAGTAATAATGACTGGAGTCTTAAAAGCTTGTGAGCAGCCATCTAAGATAGAATTATTGGTCTCTCCTTGTTGGGAGCAAAGAAGAGTGAAGAAAATCTAAGACATGTGGAAACAATCCAAGGGACTAATGGACTAATGGAACCTCAGCCTACATGACCCTGAGACCAGATGAACTAGATGGTGCCTGACTACCAATGTCAACCACTAGGAAAAGGATCAAAATCAGAGATCCTGGATAGAGTGGGAGAAAAGTGTGGAACAAAATTCAAAGACATAAAAAAGACTATGCTCACTGGTCTGATACAGATTGGTAAAACCTCCAAGACTATGGCCCCAGGTTACCTTTTGGGCCTGGAATTGGACTAACTGCTGTGGGTTAGCTCTTAGTCAAACAATAGACAGGCCAGTGAGCTGAACAGCTACACCAGGGAGATGTACTTCTTAGAGCAGTCAACCGTGGGAGATTGGAAGAGCAGCATTTGCACAGGGAGAAAGTTAGGCAACAGAAATGCATAGGTAAAAAGGACACAGGAAAGGGATAACCACAGAAAGGAGGTAGAGGAGTGCTATTACATTGTGGAGATTGTCATCAGTGTCATGAAACAAAATGTGTATGAACTATTGAGTGTAAAATGAGTCTGCTTTGTAAATTTGCACCCAAATCATAATAAAAAAAATTGAAAAAAAAAAAAAAATCCAAACTGATTTGTTCAATATTCTTCACTGACACTACCGTTTGAATGTACAAATTCTTTTTTCCTTTTTCACTGTCTAGTTTTTGCATGCATCTTAAATCAACCCAATAGTTAAGACATTGTTATTCTCATTTTAAAAATGAAATTTGGAGAAGTTAGGTGACAGTCCAAGGGCACACAGATAAAGAGTAAGACTTCAGCCATGGCCTTCTAACTCCATGTGCTGTGCTCTTTCTGTCATCCTCCACTGCCCCTGTTGAGGATTGGAGGTGACTAAATCAATGGATATAGGTTGAACAAGGAGGAAATAGATATTTACAGTTTGCTGAAACTCTGATGGCAGTGTAGAGTCTAAGACAGGACTTGAATTTGGGATTCAGTCTAATCGGTCCTTGACTCCCAAACTTTGCTTCTTGTTCTCTGGGAGGTCATGGGCCAGTCACTTAAGCTCCCTGCAACTCTGGTTCTTAATCTGCAAACCTGTAATAATATCTTCACCTTAAATCTGTAATTAGAAGTGAATGTGTTAAAAATGATAATGTCCAATGTATAGTAAACTATGTATCAATCATAGTTTATTGTTAGCTTAAAAACTTTTATTACTACTACTCTTATTATTTGCCTTTAAGCATACAAAACAGAAAGCTACATGTCTTAAAAATATTTTAAATTGTGTGGTAAATTACAGTAAGTATATTATTATTTCAAGAGTATTCAGAGAATCTGAAGCTGTGTCAGGCTCAGGAATAAAAGCAAAGTTCATTTTCCTGAAGCTGCTGCTTTCTAACTTAGAAAAACTGAGGTGACATATTTTCTGGTATTGTTTCTAAAAATATTAGAGTTACTTCATTGCAGTGCTTGGCTAGTTCATTTATTTTGTAAGTGCCATGTTAAGATTTAGGAAGTAAAAGAGTGCTTCCCACCTTCAAACTTCTACAGCAATTGGCTTGAGCCTCAGATTGAGCATTTATCCCATGTCTTTGCAATTTTTCTGTTGATACGTTTGTTTCTCTTGCTATGCTAGGAACCAAGTCTTGTTAACTGCTGTGTCCCTTAGCAACAAAGCAATCTATGGCACATCCTAGGGGGATTAATGTTTTTTGTTTTTCTTAATGAGTAAAATGGGGTAGGAGTGAAAGGAGATAAACAAAGCCACAACACATTAGGATCAGTTACTCATACTCTTTCTTAAGGAGTGTGGAGGTCATGAGAATCTGGGCTAATATATAAACATGAATGTCATGCTTCTAGTGATGAGCCCTGATGTAAATGGGAATGTGGCAGACAAGTCCCAGCTGTGTGGAGAGAGATTGGAGGGAAGGAGGGAACACTATTTTGCATTTTTAGTGCGCTGAGTTTATGCCTCCAACTGTCAGAAGCTACAGACACCTACTTCTCTTCAAGGGAAGATACCTTTGGTGGTTAACTTATTAGTGGGATTTATTTAAAACACAGACATCTCTTTTGTCCAGGGGTTACAAGACAGGTTAGTTATATTAATATATTTAACTAACTAGTGCAGCTACTTAGGGTATGTGGTAGAAAATATTTTTTTAATAGTTATAAAAATAATATATACTCACTGTAGGAAATTTAAAAAATAAAACATTGGCCAGAAGAAGTAAAGACCAAACCCAGACTCTTGCAACACTGGACCAAAGGTGGGATACAGGCAGGTCAGTCAGAAGACATGGCTCTGGGCACAGGCTCTCTGGCTTTGTCCAGGGGCGGTCAGGGCTGTGTAGGCCAGACTGTGCCTGATGCTCAGGCAAATGGGGCTGGATACACTCTGCTCTCTCCCTGCTTGCTTTCTCTCACTTCACTGCTGCTACCTACCTGTCAGCTTCCTATTTCTACCTGTTCCTTCAGCCTGTGCTGGCAATTTCAGCAGCAGCAGCAGCAGCAGTAGCAGTGGCAATGAGGACAACTAGAAATGTGTCCCCATAATATTTTAATATGGTGTTTGGACAACACTCAAAACACATAAAGTTCTATTTCACAGAACGTATTGTGGACATTAAGCGATGCTTGTGTGTATGTCCAAAATATTATCATTTCAATATGTAATAAGTATAAAATATTAATGAGATTA